TGGCGTCCCAAGCCAGTTCTTAACCAACATGCCACTCGGCCGGCCATCTGCTAGGTTTTAAGTCAAATGTGGTAAGATAACATAGAAAATTGTCAACTGTCATTATTTGGGAAAAGCATAAGTTTTCACCCCTTTCTGCAAAAGAACTGCATCCTGAAAAACAGTGACCCTGTGATGTAAGGGAATTATGTCATGGGCCATCAAGTTTATAAAGGAATTCTTGTGTCACCTGAATACTAATCAAATGCGCATCTGCTTTGTAAACACAGTTTTCTTAACCACAGCCGCCTTCCTCCCTGGCAGTGCTTCCTCCTCGCCTTTGAAAAGGGTCAAACTTTTGCCCTTGAATTGTTTTCTTAGGAGAGGGCCAGCGCAGCGTGGTCACCAAGAACCCTGCACAGAGGAGTCACTGGGGACAGTCCTGAAACGGGGCTGATCCGGCGGCTGGGGACCTGAGGTGATGCGGCCACAGGTGCTGCTGAGCGGCTGGTCCCCGGCCGCATGCCGGGAGCCCCTGTTAATGCACCAGCAGTAAATTACTTACAAAAGAGCCAGATCTCTGGGCCTTACGGCCCACTCGCTACACCTGAACCGCCCGGACGGCCAGGAGCCGAGTCAGGTGGGCTGCATGGGACACCTGGCCGCGCTCAGCTTAGCACACAACTCTGGACTTTCAATTGTGTCGCTATGCCACTATTGAGCCTGCAATTGTGTGCTTCCCCTTTATTTCCTAATTGTATACATACATTTTATATTATTTACAGTGCACACATTATAACATACATTATAGTATACATTCTCTTAATCTAACCTAAATTTGACCCTTAATTTAGTCTGAAAGGAATGCAAAATGAGTTCCCCAAATGGTACCCACTGTGCGTAATTACAAATGCGCGTGTCAGTGACGTGTGTGACGTGGCCACGCACACGCTCGTCACCACCCGCGGCAGCCCCGAGCTCAGCACCCACTGCCGCTGCGGACGCAGAGCTCAATGAGATGCAGACACGCTGACTCCAGCCTGTTCTAAGTGTTCACGTTCCCAGCTGCACGTGGCACGTGTCTTCGCGTGTGCATTTCCAGAGTTTTCCAGCTTTATTGAGGTGTAATTTGCTAACAAAATTGTAATATATTTAGAGTATACAACGTGATGATTTAATACGTGAAATGATCCCCACAACAAGTTAGTTACCGCGTCCATCACATCACATGGTTACCTTGTTGGGGGAGAGTGTGTGTGTGTGTGTGTGTGTGTGTGTGTGTGTGTGTGTGTGGACTTAAGATTTACTTACACGTTCTATGTTCTTGCAGGTGAGCACACTGGACTGGGTCCGAGCAGAAAAAGCCTATAACCTCTGTGAGGTGCTATTTAAAGTTGACAAGGTAAGTGTCCTTTGTGCAGTAGATGCTTCCATGTAATAAGGTGTCCCTTTGGGTTTAAAGTGTGAGAGAGACATTGGTTCAGCACTGTCCATTGGAATAGTAAACTAACGTGAAAACCTTCTAGTCGCTTCCCCATCGCGTCCGGACAGTTGTCACCCTGTGGCTGACCAAGGTGGGCGGATGGTGGACGGACGGAGTGTGTGTGCGCGTGCGTGTAATGGGGCCGGAGTTTTAATCGCTTCCAATCACAGTGAACTATTCCAGGAACTTCAGTTTTTTGTTGCTGCTGCTGTTCTTACCAAATCAGATCCAAAATGTGTGTAAAAGCTTTTCTTCCTTAAGCCTGCCCTGAGCCGACCAGTGTGACTGGTCAGACCTGGTCCTGTTGGGGGGGATGTGTTCCTGGGTCCGGAGGGCGGAGGTTCGCCCCGAACAGGTACATCTAGCTTTCAGCACAGTCCTTTAGTTGGACGTTTGCAAAGCATTTAAACCACAGCCATGAGGTCAGCTTTCCTGGTTGTCCCCGCACTGACCCCTCAGCATGTAATGAGAGCTGTGTTCCCACTAAGGATGGGCCTGCCGCTGTGAAGACATGTTAGATGTAAAGGTGAGGGGACAGGTGAGGGCCCACGCCGCCGAGGGGAGCACACCGAGGGAACGTCACCTCGCTGCTAAGACTCCCAGCAGCCCTCAGGCTGGTACAGAGCTCCTGGTGGCGCTGAGTTATACAGACAAGTTGGGATGTTGAACCTGAATGAAAAATGTGGGAAAGAGGTGAAAATAAGTCACTGTCACCAAGCGAGCTCTGTGGAGCAATGGATGATCAAATATCCCAAATATCCTGGAGGACTTCAGGCCTCCCGGCGATGTCAGGCTGACCGTGCGCTTTCTCTGGCCTGTGGGTGTCCCGGCTGTGACCGGGGCCAGGACTTGTGATCAGGTTTGGGGTCTGCTTCTCCTGCTGCTGTTCTGATGGGACCGAGGGCTGAAGCCACCACCCACGGAGGACGAGACATCCGTGGGACCACACTGCCCGAAGCCGTGACCCAGCACGCATATGCAGCACACACGGCCAGCCGGAGGCCCCGCGAGCACACGCTGTGACAAAGTGCTTCCGAGTGACAGGAGGCTGGCCAGGAGGATGGCTCCCAGCTCAGCACAGGGCATGTGGTCATCGCGATAAAGGACAGCGGTCACTGCTCCCAAGAAGCACGCTGAATTCCAGGAGTTCGTTGTTAAACCTGTGAGCCGACAAAGCTGTCTCCCTTCTGACGGCCTCACTGAGTGTCGCTGCACAGTGAATTTAAGGTTACACACGGGCACTTAGTTCATTTTTCAAAAATTGAAATAAATGTGTGATTGCCATGAGAACTAGCGCTTAGTATAGATTTTTTTAATGACGTGTTTTCATGATCACCGTTTCAAAGTACAGGCATTAATAGTTACCCCAAAAATCAAACTTTGTAGTTGCGCTTTTGTTTTTCCACGACAGTTTCTCCTCTCTAAAAATTACATTTTCCAATTCTAAAATCATGTTTCAACACTCACTGTGACACAGACGGGGAAAAGGCACCTATCGGCCTGATCACATCGTGACTTACAGACAGACCCAGGGCGTGTGCCTCAGCCGTCAGGAACTCTGCACGAAAGTAGATGGACGTTTCCTCTCCACGTAAGGACTTTCCATCTGAAACTTTCAGGAAAACTAAATTTGCTCCTGTGTTTGGCAGAGGGCCTTGGTGACAATGTCTGTTCGCCATGTTCCTCCAGCGCCTTGCTAAGCAGTCCCTGCATGTCCCTGAGCTGGTCCCCTCGCCCCGTGAGGGTTGGCCCTGGGCGTGTCCATGTCACAGCTAAGCACTGAAGCACAAAGTGCGTCCCTCGTCCCGGTCCCGTCCTGGCTCACTCTCAGACACGGGCGTCCAGGAGCCCCCAGAGTGCCCCCAAGAGTTTTGTGACTTGCTGTGCAGCCCCGTCCAGTACTGTGTGGATAAGCAGGAGACGAGGAGAGTTCCTAAAGGGTCCTGACATGTCACAGCCACAGCACCTGGACAGACAAGGAGGACTCCCAGCCTGCTGCAGTGGGGGGGCGGGGGTTGGGGGGGCTCAACTCCGCAGAGCCAGAGGCAGGGTCCCTAAGAGCTGGGTGCGCTGAGGTCCGGCCCCCATGTGTGCTCACCAGCCCTGTGTGAAGGAAACTAAACCCCTTGAGTCTTCACGGTAGGATGCAGTTTTGTGGCTTGGAGTGTCCCATGAAGTTAGGGTCCTGCCCTGGCACGCGGACGGGGGTGGGGGGTTGGGGGAGTGAATAGGGGTTATTTCTTTTTTTTCTTTTTTTTTTTTTTTAGCTGAGCCATCCTGCTACCTGATGGCAGCTCAGCGGCTGCTCAGCTCGGGCTGGACTTGAACCGCTGTTGCTCGGAGCTCAAACTCTTGAGCGAGCTCTTAACCAACTGAGCCACTCGGCCGGCCCTAGGGGTTATTTCTTGACCTTTGTGTTCCGGAGAGATGGCCCCTGGTCCTGGGGAAAGACAGCCCTGGGAGGCAGAACTGGCAAGAGGCTTTTAAAAGATTTGCATCTCAAAGGGGCAGAGAAAGGCTTCAGGATGATGGGTTTTGTGATGTGGATGTTCAAAGGCTGGGCCCCAGGGGCGGGCCTGAGGGGACAGCGGCAGCTGGGTCACTGGTCACTCACAGTCCGGCCTTTTTTCTGCATGTCATGCCCTTGACTTAACTCTGTGACCAGTCACGGACTTTTAGGTCGTGTTGACACATTGCAATCCGCAGAGACCGCGTTACTGTTTTAAAAAGGAGCCACAGGAAGTACACGGGGGAGGAGCCACATGTGGTGACTGAGTCCCTTATGCGACATTTGTCACCCACGGTCTTTGTGAGGCTGGACAGTTTGCATTCTGGAAAAGAACGTGTCTGTGAAATCCTTCAGCGTTTTCATGGACTTTCTCAGGTTGTTCAAAAGCCCCTGTGAATCCCCCGCCTTTGCTCCTGAATGTAAAGTCCAGCTCACTGACTTGCCAGTTCCGGAAGCCAGGAAAATGCCACCGCTGTCACTGCTCGTTCAAGAGCTCTCTGCCCAGAGCTGACGCTTAGCAATCACAAGAGTCACATGTTAGTGGTTTTCTATCAACTGGTGAACATTTCGAGGATTATCAAAAGACCACTGAGAAATGTTTAGAAATCTAATATCATGTTTAAGCACTCCATTAATTACATTACAAATTTGTAAAATTATGTGTGCAGAGACACTGCATGCAAAGGAATAGAAAACCCCAATCAAATGACAAAAAGGTAGTCATAATAAGATTATTTCGCTTTTGTATTTCCTGCATTGTTACTATAATTGCTTCGACATAAATAAATAGAAGCAGGAAAAAATCGAGGTAATTTAAAACACAGTCCTTCTGTTTCAGAGAGGAGAACGGAAGCTGGTTTGTGTGTTGTGGGTGGGGCGAGGGCCCTGGGGCGGCTGGAAACGTGGCTGCAGGGAATGACCTCTGCCCTGGCCCAAAAGCTTAGCTGAAGATCAGGTATCAGATTTCAATCTGCACCGAGGCTCATGGCCTCGGAGACCGTGTGTTTTGTGTGGCATTGGAGCTCACATGACTCGGGGACGCAGGTTTTGCCTGTGCTGTCACTTAAGGGGCAGTCTCCTCCGTATGACCCAGTTTATAGCTCCAAACCTGAGACTCACAGAGAAGTAAGTGGCTCAGGGCCAGCGGCTCGTAACTGGAAGGGAAGGGCTGCACGGAAAGGCTGCACACCGGCCCACTGACCAGAAAGGAAGCCGGCCTCCATGCAGCCGGCAGGAGCACTCTCTGGAGCCCCCTCCGCTGTCGGCCTTGACACCGAAGTCCAGTGTTGCAGGAAGGCCAGTCGCTGATGCCGGCCGGTCCTGGTTTGTGACACTCAGTCCTGTGCGCTGGGTGGTTTCTGAGTCTCCCAGTCTCAGTGAAGGATCTGGGCCGCCTCTGGGACTGAGGTGCAGCCTCTGTTCCAGGGCTCAGTGGGGACTAGGAACATAGGCACCACACAAGCATGCACGCGCGCGCACACACACACACACACACACACGCCACATGCACACACGTGCACACACACCACGTGCACACACATCACATGCACACATATGTCACATGCACACATGCACACACATGCACAAACCACAAGGCAGCAGGTGTCTAAATGAGGCACAGAGTACCTGGGCAGCTGGCTGGGTGACCAGAGTGGGGTCGCACATGGAGTGGAATCCAGCAGACTGTCCCCAGCCCCACAGAGTCCTGGGTCCCCCCCCGGGTGGCTGTCAACAACTTTTCCAAAACCATTTGCCCGGAAGCCGAAAAAACCCTTTTGCCCGGTTCAAAATTTCCTGCTGCCTGAGGGAACGAACTTGAAAAAAGTTGTGATTGGGTTTTCGGGTGGGGAAGGGAAATCCTTCAAGGCCGGTGTTGCAGCCCCGGCCTGCGGCAGCCCCCACTCTGTAACCACACGCTGGGCCATGGTGAACGCACGCTCCCTCGGGCCACTGGCAGCCTGGGCGGCATGTCACCCTCCTGGCCTTCCATCCAGGGCAGCGCCCGTGCCTGCTGTGGGCTGGTCAGCGTGTCTGTGGAGTGAGGGGATCTAGAGGGAGACGGGTTCGGGCATCAAGTCCTGTTCTTGGGTACAGCGATCGTAGAATGGGACGAGCCCTGCAGCTCCCAAGGGTCCCAGGCAGTGGTGACACGCTTGCTGCGGTGCCTTTGAGACTTGTAGGGTTTGCTGAGTTTATGTTAAATTCAAGCACAGGAGTCTCATGATTTGTATCTGTAAAGTTAAACAGAGAAAATGAAGTTGTGATCAGCAAATTGTAAGTGAAAGTGCTCACAGATACTTACGAGTCGGACATAACTTACAAATCCTTGCATTGGGCCCCCACACAGCACCGTGTCCGCGTCCCCTCGGGAGCCCGTGCACAGTGAGCGCCGGGGTGCAGGGGGCGCTCCAGCCCCAGCGCGTCTCAGCCCTGCCCTGTTTTTCAGCCCCGGCTCCCAGACGCCTGCTGCTCACGCACAAACCTGGGGTTCCGGGACCTGGACTTTGGGGACCAGGGGCCACACCGCTTCAGTGTCATGGTCGGCCGTGGTGGAAGTCACTCCTTCAGCGTGGAGCTCGGCAGTGAGCTGGCCGAGTGGGAGGCGAGCTTCCAAAGAGCGACCTTCACAGAAGTTCAGAGAACGGGGGTAAGTGGCTCAGTGTCCTCAGAGGAAAGTATCCCCAGGGGTGACCCGTGGCGATTGGAGCGCGCATGACACTGTCTCAGAAAACGCGACTCTAAAAGCTGAGTGTTTCCGTGTGAGTCACCACGTCGAGATGCTCTCTCCTCCGTGAGTCACCGCCGGGGAGTGTGGGGCGAGCACCCCGTGTCTCCGTTTACACGCGCTCACACCTCAGGTGGGGAATGGTGACGGTGCTCTCCATGCCTTTAAACCCCGATTTCATGACCCAGCCGGAGTAAACGGGGTGCAGCGGGCAGAAGGCCTGGCGTGCCGTGTCCTCCCAGTCTGACACGGCACCTAATTATCACTGGGCGGGAGGGTCTGTGTGTAAAGCTGGCTGGCCAGGCCCCATTTTAGGGCAGTTCAAATGGAAAGGGGGTAAAAGTGAGGCCTCTGGTTTTCCAATTAGTCACATTCTCTGTGACACTCAGTGACATGGATTTACTGCACAAATGACATTCTTAGTGCTCTGATGATTTCACTTATCAAGTGTCATCCATCAGCACATGTTGAGATTACTGGGAGCAATGTTTTTTCGTTCCAACCAAATCTGGAACTTTTTGGTGGATGAATTTCAGAATGTCAGTGCACCTCAGCTGCTTAGTCGGAGTATCCCGATAACCTCATGCATTTGGCAGCTCAGGACAGTCACCAGGCGCACCATCCCTTCCTGTGACCACGCTGGGGCACAGGACCAGCTAGTGAGGCCCCAGAAGGTCCCCGAAAGACCTGCCTGGTCTCCTGTTTTAGATTTCCTTGCCCCTCACGCCCTCACTGCGTCCTTCCTCCATGCACCACCTCCTTTTCCGGGTCAGATGGTGGTTTCTAGAACAGCTACTGTGGCTGAGACAACAACTACAGCCCTTGTTAGGGTTTTGTCAAAAACGAGAGCAAACAAAAGCCAAGCGAGGTTCTACGACACTCTCATGGGGAGGGCGCGTAACAGTTAGTCCATGGAGGGCTGTTGGGGTGTCCTGAGGAGCTAGCCTCTCCCCGCCCCCGAGGCTGTCTGCGTCCAGGTTCATGCAGCCAGGTGGGGGTTCTCTCAGTCAGTCTGCCTGGGGCCGTCGCCCCCCTGCCACGGGCTGCTTTAGACGTTGTCAGATGAGCAGCTCTGGTCTGGGAAGGTGCCTTCTCCGAGAGTGACTGTCAGGCCCACGAGCTAACCCAGAGTGTCCCCTGCTTCTCACTGTGCTGGCAGCAGTGACACATGTTTCCAGAGGGGCTTTGTTCTGGGCATCACAGATAATGTGCAATCAGAGGCAAACATTATAACTGAGTCATGGCCAGATAAACGTGTGTGTGTGTGTGTGTGTGTGTGTGAGAGAGAGAGAGAGAGAGAGACA